CGACCATGCGCGGGCGGGGTGGCGCCGGCGGCGCTCGTCCAGGTGGTTCGCGCCAGCGCCGCGGCCTGGACCCCCTGACCGTCCACTCCGGTGCCACCGCTGTGGCTGCCAGTGCAGCCGGGCGCTACCCTGCTCCTGGACGTGAACGTGCTGGCCGTGTCCGGCCATCTCTGTGCCGCTAAGATCTGCAGCTTTCCTGGATGACGGTGTCTTGACGAAATAAATTCGACGTGATTTTTCTGTACGTTTTATGATTCTTGGCGTATGGTTAGGCGTACCGTGTGTTTCATAAAAGACACAGGCGCGAGCGGGTTTGCCTACCCAAGGGGCTATGGTGCCTTGCGGGCAGAGCGGGTAGGCAAACCCGACCCAACCTGTGTCTTTTACGAAACACCTGCTTGACTGCGTCCTTGTGCAGCCAGGCGTGTGCGCACGGGGGGAAGTCCACGCTCCTCAGCCGGAGCGCGAGCCTTGCAGGGTCGGGACGGGGTGCCGTGCGACGTAAAGGCTGTCCATGTGATGGACGGTCAGGCCGGGGCAGCCCAGGTAGAGCAGCTCAAGGCCACGCGTGGCCGCCAGCGTCAACACGGACACGTCGGCGCGTGCCACCCGGGGAGCGCAGAAGTCGACCTCCACACACCTGAGCCGCCCGAGCGCCTCCTGGTTGCGGATGACCAGCGCGGCGTGCAGCCCGAGAGAGCCGGCCACGTCCAGCATCAGCCTCGACACGGCGCACCTGGTCGTGGTGTACGCCAGGACGTACTTCGCCGACGGCAGCTCGACAGACATCCCTTCCAGGCACGGCGCCAGGCGCAGCACCGCACACGCCGGAACCGGGCCACTGGCCGGGGGAGGTAGCGGTCCCGCCAGGTCCCCGAGCCTCTTGCACGCGAGGCGGCAGGTCATGAGGCTTGGCACGTCCAGGTACTTCATCACTTCCACCAGCACATCGTCCAGCAGCAGCTCCATGCTCCGGGGGGGGGGGGGGGGCGGACGGGGCACAATGTTAGCACAGGGACCATACCACATTGAGGAATACGGGTTCGTTTGAGGTACCGTTAACTCGACCGTTAACGATACGAAAGTGGCACCCCAAACGACAAGTGACATCGGAACAACGTCATATCGATATCGGGCCATGACGCCCTTCAGGGTGCGGAGCGGGGTGGACTGCCGAGGTGCGCGCGCGCGCCGAGCAGTTGCGGGACAGGTGCGCCACCACGAGGGGTCCTCCTGTCCTCCACTCTCCAAGTGGGTGTACAACGAGTTGCGTGGGTATTCGAGAGTATTCGAGAGTATTAGCGAGTATCCGCGAGTATTAGGCGAGTTTTTGTCGCGAGTATCTTGCGAGTATTTTTCCTCGTGTACAACGAGTTGGCCAGTGGGGGACCCTCGCGCCACCATCTCATGCGGTGCGTATCCGGTGCTGTCTGTAAACACGGGTGTGGCGGCCAGCAGCCCGCTGCGTACTGAGTGCCAGCGTAGAGGATGGGGGCGGGGAGGGCACGCCCGCGGAGGTGCCAGGTGACTCGCCGTAGTTATGGCGGCTGCCGGCTCGAGGTGCCAGCGCCAGGACACCCGAGTACGGTCGCCGCTGCTGAGGGAAGAAGAGGCCCCTGTGGGGTAGGCAGGCCAGCCAAGCGACTGCGTCGATGTGTGGCCTACCGGGCAGGCGGTTCGCTGCTCTACTGCAGGCGGCCGCTGCGGAGGCCGTCACCAGTGCCCAAGCTCCGTCACCTCCGCCCGTCGGGCAGCTGCGTGTCGCACCCGCAGGTGCTGCGTAGCCCTTCGCGGCGCAGTTCGCCAGCGCCACATAGGCGCTCTCGCCCGAGGCGCGTGGCTGCCGCTTGTCGGAGTCCCTGCAGAGGGGTGCGGCGGGGTCCAGACCACGGTGTATATGTAGAGTCTCCCTCTACACCGTGGTCCAGACACTGCCTCACTGCCTCCCTGCAGCCGCCGCTTCACGATCTACAACCGGCCGCGGCAGTGGCTCCGTCAACATTACGACCGGGGTCCAGGATGTCGCCGAGGCCGAGCTCGACCGACGGGAGGAAAAAGTCCGGCGAGCTCGTGGAGGTCTATGTGGCTCCGAGGTCCTGTGCCTGGCGCGCGAGGCCTACCGCAGACGGCAGGGAGCCTCGCCGCGAACGCTTGTTTGAGCTGGCTCCAGTCCACCATAATCATAACCATAACAATGAATGCCTCCAAAGGTGAGCCATGATGTTGCTCGCGTTTGCGAATGACTTGCCGCACTCGGTGCACTTGAACGGATTCTCCCCCGTGAGCGTTCAGAGAACGCAGACTCATAGCGAACTACAACAACACAATATTCTTTCGGGACACGGCGCACTCGAAAGGCTTTCTCTCCCGTGTGAGTAGTTCGAAGATGTGTCCGCAGAGCGCTGGCGCTCAAACAATTCACGTCGCACTCCGTGCACTAATACTTTCTCTGTGTGGACCTGGAGATGTGTGCGCTACTTTGCACCTGTATTAAATCCTCTGCGGCATACGGTGCACCCGAGGGGCTTTTCCCCAGTGTGAGTACGAAGATGAGTTCGAAGACCGGAACCGGTCACACATTTCTTGCCGCAGACCGTGCATTCGTAGGGCTTCTCTCCAGTGTGAGTTCGATGGTAGGTGCACTTGAAGATTGTCACTTCGCGAAAATTTCTTTTCGCACAAGGTACGCGCATATGGCTTCTCCGGTATGCGTTCGACTATGGGATTGCTGACTTTCGCTCTGCGCAAATGCTTCACTGCACATGTTGCAGTGATAGGGCTTCTCTCCTGTGTGGATGCGGGTTATGTTCGCGCAGTTTTTGTTTGCAAATTCTTTTTTGCACTCGGTACACTCGAAGGGCCTCTCTTCCTATCCTGTGTGGGTACGAAGATGGAGACGTAATTGACTGCTCGTTCCAAAATACTCATTGCACACACTGCACTCAAAAAACTTCTCCCCTGCATAATAGAAGCGGACATGACTTTTCAATAGTCCAGTGCGTCCAAACTTCTTTTCACACACTGTGCACTAGTGTGGCTTTTCTCCCGTGTCCAGCAGTATGTGTGAGTGCAGCGAACTACTCGTCGTGCATTTCTTGCCGCACAAATCACACTGAAAAGGATGCTCTCCCGCATGGGTTCTAAGGTGATCTCAAAGACGGGAACCGGACTCGAATTTCTTATAGCAGACTGAGCACTCGAAGGGCCTCTCTCCCGTGAGGGTCCACTGGTGAGTCTGTAGATGACCGCTCCTCGCGAATGTCTTGCCGCACAATGAACACTCGAAGGGCTTCTCTCCTGTGTGTCTTCGTAGGTGAATGCGCAGTTTGCTGCTGTCTGAGAACGCCTTGCAGCACACTTCACTCTCGAAGGCCTTGTCCGGCACGTGCTCCACCGTAGCGGCAGCGTGATGTCCTTGTATACTCGTTGGTCTCTGGTGAACAGAAGAGAGAAATGACTAAAACGTCAACTCCGCTATGCTGGCGTCCAGTGTCCGGCTGCAGACGCCGGCACTCGTACGTACCTCGTACCTGGTACTCTTCTGGGGGGCTTCTCGGGAACCACTTGGAGAACGGGAACGGGAACGGGAACGCGGCGGGGAAGAGAACGAACTGGTGAACGCGCCATAAGAGCTAATGGAGAACGTTCGTTCCCTGCGGCCGTTCCTTCACGCGTTCACGGCACTAGTCGTTCTCTCACTTGGTTCCCGAGAACCCCCCCTGGGGGACGAGCTCGTTTGGGGCTATAGTTGCAATCTACTGTATTGTTTAGGCGAGCGCGGGGAGGCGGGCGCCTGGTAGGTAGGCACCCCAATCAACGCAGATGCCGGGTGGGGCTGCACGCCTCGTGCAGCGGCGAGCAGGCGGCATCGTCGACATCTCCTCCCCTCGCGCGCTCCTGCACACACTGCGCGCGCAGCAGACCTTTAAGCTGGTAGTGAGGCGAAGACATTGTCGAACGCGAAAACACGATTGTAACTTAGCGAATTCTGTGGTACGCAGCTAAGCAATACGGATGGATGAGGAAATGTTCCCGCTGTCAGGCCAACACAGGAGGAGATGCATGGTTTCGTCTCGGTAAGTGTTCCTTTAACGTCTTCGTTTCGGCTGCAGGTAATGTGGCGACATATTTCTGCGATCATTATATGGACCATCTTCGTGCAGGTCCAAATTGTGCGTCTCCAGAGGAAGAGATAGACGCGTTCCTATCAAAAATCGATGAACAGCTGCGAATACATTGGAAACGCAAGTGTGTGAATGTCGCACACTTGTAGGTGTGTACACCGCCCGCCGCGAGCCCACAGACAGGTGGGCGATGGCGCCCTGGCCTGTCCCCAGGTGAGCACGGCCCCGCCGTCCGCAGCCCTGGGCGCCACGACGACGAGCAACTGGAGAACCTGAGGACCCACCGGCCGCGAGCCGACAGAGAGGTGGGTACAGGCGCACCTGGCCTATCAGCAGCTGAGCACGGCGCCGCCGTCTGCAGCCTTGGGCGTCACGACGACCTGCAACGCTGGAGAACGTGTGGATTGAGCCACCTGAGGACCCACCAGCCGCGAGCCCACAGACAGGTGGGCGATGGCGCCCTGGCCTTTCACCAGGTGTGCACGGCGCCGCCGTCCGCAGCCCTGGGAGCCACGACGACGAGCAACTGGAGAACCTGAGGACCCACCCGCCGCGAGCCGACAGAGAGGTGGGTACAGGCGCACCTGGCCTATCAGCAGCTGAG